TTATTGTTGTTATTGTTATTGTTATTATTGTTGTATTATTAATTTGTACAAATAACCTCCCTGTTGTTCGACCCCGGTCTTGCCGGGTTATTTATTACTTCGACACTCCTGCACTTGGGAGAAGACATCAACCTTTTAGTCGTGTCACTTAGCCAAAAGTCCTTTATTATATATTCTGATACCATATTTATAATTGGAACATCCCTTTATAGTTAGGAAAATTCAACATGACAAAAGTCAAAAAATTAGATGTTGATAAAGTAACTAGACAAATTAAACTAGCACATATTTTTTGACTTTAATTGAATCATAAACAGGCCAAATTTAAAAAGGCTATAACTTCTTGCACAAAGGTTTACCTAGGTTAAAACGGGATAGGTATTCCATCTTTATAATTGTTGATATGTTTCAAAGATGGCACACTTCGTTCCATGTCATAAAACTAATGATGCAACTAACATTGCTGATTTGTTCTTTAGTGAGATAGTACGGCTTCACGGGGTCCCTAAAAGCATTGTTTTTTATAAAAATGTTAAATTCCTTTGCTATTTTTGGAAGGTGTTATGGGGAAAATTAGGTACTAAACTATTGTTTTCAACTATTTGTCACCCCCAAATAGGACCTTAACATAACTTTTGCATGCTGTCATTCAAAAGAACTTAAAGAATTGGGAAGATTGTTTACCATTTATGGAGTTTGCATATAATCATAGTTTGCACTCTACTACTGAATTTTTACCATTTGAAATTGTGTATAGATTTAACCCTTTAATTCCAATGGATTTGATTCCTTTGCTTGTTAATGAAATAGTTTGGTTGGTACTCCATTAAATTGTGCGGCAACATATTGAAAAGAGGAATCATGTGTATGCGACCAAAGCCAATAAGGGGCGCAAACATGTTATCTTTCAGCTTAGCGATTGAGTTTGGGTGAATATGCGCAAGAAGAGATTTCTAGCCCGTAGGAAATCAAAGCTACAACCACGAGAAGATGGGCAATTTCAGATCCTTAAAAATCAAAGCTACAACCACGAGGAGATGGGCAATTTCAGATCCTTAAGAGGATCAATGAAAATGCTTATAATGTTAATTTGCCAAGCGAGTATGGTGTTAGTGATCCTTAAGAGGTGATGATTTAAGGTTGAATCCTTTTGAAGGGAGAGGGGATGATGCGGATTAGCTCAACACCAAGCGTAATCATGCCAACGACCCATTTGAAGGTGCCAATTGGGCCAATCATAAGAGCTAGGGAAAAGAAGCATTGAATGGGCTTGTTCAGAGCATATGAAGCAAAATGGGTAAATTGACAAAACTTTTGCCATGCCAAGTGACAGTGGCCCATCGAATCCATTCATCCCATCCTTTTGTCATTCTTGGAATGTTGCATCTGTCACAAACATCCCACCAGATCGCTTTAGTATAGGAGCATTCAAAGAACAAGTGGTTGTGATCTTCGTAGTTGCGGAGACAGAGTGAGCATCTATTGGGACCATGTATACCAAATCGATGAAGTCTATCTTGAGTTGTGAGTTTCTGTTGGACAGCCACCCATAGAAGAAACGAATGTCTTGGAACAGCATTCTTGAACCACACAATGTCATGCCATTCGACCATCGTATGATGAAATCTTAGTTGTTCCCAAGCTATTTTGATCGAGAATCTGTGATTTGGTGAATCCAGCCAAACAATCTCATCATTTTGCCCTATCATAGGATTAGAATTGGAAGGAATAGCTTCTACAATGGGGTGCCATCCAATAGCGTGAGTGGTAGGAATTTTCCATTCTGAGTTATGAATCAGCATATTCACCTTCGCGTTCTTTTCCATACCTGAATCATAGATGAATCTGTCGCCGTAAGAATCTGCGAGCGGGCTGTGAGGATGCCAATTGTCAAACCATAGAGAAGTTGTCCTGCCATCCCCTATGATGTACTTCATCTTCGGCCATGCTAAGGATCTGAGCTTTAGAATCTTTCTCCATGCCCAAGAGCAATTCTGTGGCGTCTTGATTGTCCAGAAATTCCTACCTCGCAACAGATTACATCTGATCCAAGTAGACCAGATTGAGCCATCTGAGTCATTGCACAGGTTCCAAATGTGTTTCAACAAAGCAATCTTGTTCCATTCTGTTATCCTCTTTATTCCTAGCCCCCCCTCCTTTTTTGGAAGACATACCTGATCCCAAGCCACTTTAGCCCCAGTAGTTCTCATATCTGAACCTGACCAAAGAAAGGATCTCATAATTTGCTCCACACTTTTTATGACATGCCCAGGTAAGAGGAAGAGAGATGCCCAATAGACCTGGATGGAAAATAAAACTGAATTAATCAGTTGTACTCGTCCTGCATACGAGAGTGTTCTTTGCTGCACTTGTTGTGTGTTTGTGGGATAATCTCCCTTGGTTCTCTAAAGAACTGAAAACAACTTATCAAAGAACAACTGGCTTCATGTCGTCATCCTTATACTTCTTATTCGTGAATCAATATTCATTGGGTTGGGGTTTTCCGTTCACAATAGTGCTGGTGCCTAGGTACAAGTTATCTTTGTGTCACACTCCTATCAAACCTGATTTACTTGG